CATTTACACCTGCATATGCTTTACTTGCTTCTATGGATATGAAAGATTAAAGCTTAATCCATAACAATAACCGACACAAGAGCCAACTTACCAGTCGAGGATGTTTCATTGGTAAGGTTTCTATCTGAAAAGGCGGCATTCACATCCTCATACCAAATACTACAACCGAAGCTAGAAAACTCCCAAGCCCGATTGCCACCAAATTACAGAATATATTTATCGAGCAAATTGTTCAAACATTTGTCACAAGCCGAAACATTGAGATCTCTTCTACATTGAACAAAGCCATACCTCTTCCCTTCCTGGCCAACATCCAGTATCCCCTCGTTAAACATCAGGCGTTGACTTGGAGCAGTAGATGCAAGTTTCCTAATGAAATTATTTCCTTGAGGAACCACTCTTAGATCTTCTGATAAATTTCTAACAGTGGCTCCAGTATACAAGTTTTCGCTCTGTCCAATGAAGTTTTTGATTGAATAACGTAAAAAAAAAAATTTTTAGCATATACGCAGAATCAGTGCTGTTTGCACACTCGCTGGATTTCTTGACTATACTCTTAACACAAGTCAAACAATTTTGTGCAGAAATGACGGCTCTGCATTGCAATAGGCCATAAACTGATGTAGAGTTTTCTCCCCACGTGGGGATGTGGATTATAATGTGGAGGAGCTCGGGAAGGGAATGAAAGTATTAAATACAGTGTATGAATGTTTTAGGGTATAAATCTAATTTGTTATTTTTTAGTGTAGTTGGCCTAATTTCCTCATATTCAATCCCTCCATCTTATTTATATAAACTGACTTTATTTATTTTCTTGTCTCAATTATATAATTTTATTTCTTTATTGAGAATATTTGATTTAATTTATTTACTAATACACAATTATTTAATTTACCTAATTACAATCAATTTAATACTAGTTGTTGATAATTAAATAAGGATGAACTAGGAAAAAATTTTTAAAAAATTATTTTTTCAATAATATTAAATAAGATTTCTTAATTCGTCTAAAAAACAAAATCAGCACATATGAATAGGACAGAAGGAACATTACTTTAACCTCTTTTTATCCAAAAAAAAAACCCCAGTTCATAATAGTATTAAGGGAATGTTTGGTGAGGATTAAAATTAAATTTTTAGTAGATTGTGATAGAAATTTTTGAAATGTGTGGTTGAAAAATTTATGAGACCCATAAAAAATGTGGTTAATATTGATTGTTTAACTTTAACTTGAATTAAAATCAAATTTTA